AGGCTCAGCTCATTCCCTTCTCCACCAGATTTAAGTTGCAGGGAACATGCATTATTTTTTCATTAAAAATTTATTTTGGAATGGATAGCCTTCAGAGACGTAATTAGCCACGTTATTTCCCTCCATTAGCTGTCCCTGGTGGACTCAGGAATGTCTTGTCCCTTTTCCTCTCCATTTCACGCTTTCCATTCTCCGCACAATCTGGACTGCAACGTTCACCACTCCTCCACCCCCACGCGCCCCGTCATGACCGAGTGCGGCTTCCAGAGGAATGTGCCAACAGCCCTCCTCATGGGGCTCCTGGGAGCAAAGCCCTCGGGGACAGCACGGGATTCAAAGAAATGTCACCTCAGTTTGTATTATCTGAAGTAGGTCCTGTGGACCATTTTTAGTGTTGTAGCCAGTGAGCTGGAAAGTGGGTTCCCCCAAGATCTGGGAGGGGACACAAAATATAACAGAGAACTCCTAGGCACCCCCAAGTAGTACAGTAGACTTACAGTAGTGAGTGGGTGAGTTGCTCTGGTTCTAGGGAGACCCCAGCCATCTCAGTGCTCAGAGGAACACTGCTGCCGCCTGCTCCACCCGCACCCTGTTCCTATCACAGGTGACACATGACACGCAGCCATCTCCAGGATTGTCAGAAATACCCCACTCTGTGGGAGTGAGGGCAGAAAGCCTGACACCCAAAAATCTAAACTTATCCTGGCTCCCACAAAGAGGGGCAAAGAGAAAAGTACAGCAAAACATCTTCAGTGTGCATGATTTCTATGGAGAACTCTGACTGTCCCAGATCCCAGGGGTCCTAGGAGGTATACTTCAAAGGGGCTGGTCCTAGCAACAGGGACGCAGTGGGTGACATTTCAGAATTGTGTCATGTGGTATTGGCACGAAGAGAACACAAATCAACTCCGTTCCTCACATTGGTCTTATTGCTTTGTGCGTGCAAGAGTTTATGTGTGTGTGTGTGTGTGTACAATTTTACGTTCCAAGGTACATGCAGAGGAGCAGAAACTGACAGGTTTGCAGGGTCTTCGAACTTGGGCACAGATGTTACTACAAACCTCGTGGAGTCAGGCAGCATCTTGGCTGTCTTCATCACGGTGATTTTTATGAACAATCCCTGGGCATAGGGAATAGCAATGGTGAAGCTGGGAGTGAATTAAGAGCTGGGTGCTGGTGTCACTGTGCTTGCCAGCTCTGCTGGACTCTTTACAGATACTCCCTCATCTATCTTTCAGGCCCAACAGGCATTAAGCAGCCCCCCCCCACCCCCCAGGTGCTGGGGAGAGATTCACACAGGGTAAGAAGAGATAGTGTCAAACGAATGACTTCTGTTCCGCCTCCCAGGGGGAGTCTCATTGTGTGGAAGATGGTAAATGGTACAACAATGCCTGCTCCCAGGAGCAGCAGGCTCAGGGTATCAACCCACTCCACGGCTGGCAGGTGTCGCCGAGAAACACACAAATCACCCAGCACCAGATGGAATCACGCTTTAGTCACACAGATGAGACAGAATAAGAGTGATTTCGATAGTGGGTGTCTGTCCCCCTGCGACCAGGGGTCTCAGTCTGCCACCAACACAGGATAATGACCTTCACATAGCCTCCTGTGCCACAGATAAAGGCCCTCATTCCCTCTCCACCTGGAAGAGATCTAGCAGGGGGGCTGGCTAGGAGCCATGTGACTGCACAAGCTTAGCAGAACAAAGGAGCGCTCTTCGAGCCTGGAACAGGAAAAGGTGGTTGCAGGTTAGTGATGTGCCCCACACAGCTTAATGTAGCTTATCTCTTGGGAGAAAAATGTTTCAGGCCCAAGCCACTTTCCTGAGGCTGAGCAAAGAGTCAAAGGTGACATGTACTGGTCACTCTTCCCTATGGCTGGGACCGAGGTCATATTGTTGGTGCAACTGAGTCTGGATTTAGACACAAGTCTGCCTGGCACCACAACCCAAAAGCTTTCTTATTTGAGCTCAGTCACCCCTCTGTAAACCCAGGTAAAGTCTGGGTATGGTGACATACACCTACATTCCTGTGCCTGGGAAGCAAGAGCTGGGCAGAGCCCTGGGCTTGATGCTCAGTAAGCCCAGCCTACTTAGTCAATTCCAGGTCAATGGCATACTATTTTCAACCAAAACAACAAAGTGAAAGTTGAAATATCTGGAGGTAAGAGTCCCAGATCCCTGGAAGGCCCCTTCACTCCTCACTAAGGTAGCCCATCAGCCAACTGCCTGGTTCC